AGCAGATTCGAGTCCTTACCAGGGGCGGACGCCGGGGGGGGGGGGGCGAGCCCCCCCCCTTGAGACGAAAAAGTCCTGAAGGGGGGTACAAGAAAAAATATTTTCGCGTGATAAAAAATTTTTTGTGTCATGGCGGGCCCCCCCATTGAAAAATTTCTGCGTACGCCACTGGTCTCTATAAATTGTTACTTTTTACACTCATATCCGATCTGTAGGTTGTAGTACTCTAATCATGAATCAATTTACAAAAATAGTAAAGACATTTTCTTGTCATAGATCGATATTGACTTACTTCATACAAGCTTCCGTGTTTCGGCATAGCTTGTACATTCAATAATAGGATAATTTCATTCAGCAATTGAATAAACTGTATGAATAACATAAAAAAAGAATAATTTTTAAATTTCAATAAGAAAAAAATCACACATACTAGAATCAATTCAAAAGAGAGTATGTTCTTGTGATTTTGAATGAAAAGTTCATCGATTTGTTGAATATCAAATAGTTTTGTCTTCAGTTCGTATTAAACTTCATACGAATGATTATGTTTTAACCGGAACTATTTGAATACAAATAATGTAGCTTTAGATATTCAAACAATGAACATAAGATATTAATTTTATTTCATTAATTTCTCATTTATAATATATATTTACCATTTTTTTTTCTTTCTCAATAATGTTAAAGAATAAGATACAAACATCAATTTATCAAAAATAACGAACGAAAGACGATATTGTATTAACAACAAGAAATACAATGATCTGAAATATATATATTGATATAAACATGGGTCCGATCTCATCTTTTCAACTCTACTGAAATCATATTCATCAGGATCTTTCTTATGTTTAAATGAACAATTTCGAAAGTAATAATATATCTCAAGACAAAAAAAAAAAAAAGAAAAGAACACTATTGACACAAGACATAAAACATTGAATGAAGAAGCATAGAATGCTCAAAGAAAAGCAAGAACAGAAAAATAACAAATTTGTCGTTAATAAACAGACAAATAAGAACACTATTCATTATAGTTCATTAGTTTTGTTTTTTTGTATATCAATCAAATTCATCTTCGGTAATAGGTACATTGAAGAGAATATATTCTTGATGAGTAAGAGTAGATGCTAATTGTTCAGCAATAAAACGATTTGGTCTTGGTTCAATACGTTGTTTTAAACTTAATAAATTTGTTATAGTCTAAATATATGTTAATATAAATTTTTTTAAAACATAAATATCTTTTTTTTTTTTACCTGATTACCAACAGTAATTCTAACAAAATGTAATGGCCTATTATAAAAAATAAAAAAGATTTCTTTCAATATAAATAAAAATAAAACAAACCATTGTTCTGTTCCTTCTTCTGTATTAGCAAATGAAACTTCAACTACTTTATCAGCTACTTCTTGTCGAAAAGTTTGAATTGTATCTCGTGGCCATAATGAATCATTATCATTTGGTGTACGAGGAAAAGCCTAAAAGAATATGTTTTGTTTTTGTTACCAAAAAAAAAAAACACATTTTTTAAAATACTTCAGATAAACTACAAGCAATAGCTTGTGCTGGTAAATCTGTATATAATTTATCAAGTGGAAAAAATTGATTAATAAGTTTTATTTCAATATTTCCAAAATCAATAAAAACAATTCGTATACGATCATGTTCTTCACACATTAATAAACGTGCACGATACCATCGATCATCTTCACTATATTTTGCTACACCAAAATCACCAATAGAAACATTTTCTAATGGTATTAATTTATTTGATTCTTCTAAACGATTATAATAATCACTGAAAAGAAAAAAATTTTTATATATTTAAAAATATTTTTCTTTTTTCAACTTACTGAAGATCTTCTAACATATGAATAAATTTTTCATGTACTTTTTCATCAAGATTTTCAACATAAAATGCCGAAAGTGAATCAATAACATCAATTTTAGCTTCCTTCCATTTCGTACCAGGTGGAATGCGTTGTAATTTTACTTGAACTTTACCACCTATATTAAAAATAAAAATCTTTAACAGAAAAAAAAAAACACAACTATATTTCATCTATTATCACATACGAGGTGGTTGTTGATAATTACTAATCATTTGACTGGTCGAAGGAACTGCCATAGAAGACGATATATGATCTGATTGTGGTGTTCGTCCACCGTATGATGATGCTACTGGACGCATCTATGAATATAATTTTTGTTTATCTCAACTATTGTCAATACATATCGTTTTTATAAATCAAATAACTATGAATATGAGAAAATCTCAGCAAAGTCTAGGTCTCTATAAAATCTGCGTACATCTCGAAGCTGAAAAAAACGATCGAGTTCGAAAACTAATGTCACCGACTTTAATTATATAAGATTTTTTTTTGCCATTGAATATCAATGTAATCAAAGATAACTTTAGCGAACGCGTAAAAATTTGTGAATCACACCGTAATGTTCGGATTAGATCATAAAACATATTCTTGCTTAATCTCGTTTATATAAATACAACTAAAACTATTTCATACAGCTGAAAATTTTGATACGAACATGTAGATAAACTGCTCCTTGTGGTTATTTGATGACCTAATTTCTATAGAAAACGAGCATAAAACGTTAATACTTCAATACAATAGAATGATTTCAGGATATGTGTTTTATAGGCTGTCATATACATTTCTCATTCATGCTTTATCTTTTATTTTCATCTAATTGATGTGTTGTTTTTTTTTTTTGAGCTGATTCGAAATCACAACACACGTCAGAACGAATATAAAAGTATTGTAGTTCAAGTACTAGAAGTTGTTAATCTATACTTCTAATCCTAAACTTGGAACTTTCATAACTCAACCGAAAAGGCTCATGAAGGGAAAATTCTTTTAGAGCTCCTCGAGTTCAATTTATGGTCAGAATATGAGCCCAAAAGCTCTAAGATCAGTTTAGAAAGTTTACTAATAAGTGAACAATAAGAAATAACTGTACGTTAATTTTTTTCGTAGAATGTAACCAATAAAAACTTGATCTTTCACTTGTTGATGTATCTAGAGATTGCCAAATATTCATAGACAAAAAAAATAAATGCGAAAACATCGGATTTAAATCCGAGTGTTATGTGTACTTCAAAAAGTGAAAAGGTATATTCACTGTGTTTTTTATCACTAAATTGCAAGGAGAAAATACAGGCGTGCTAAGTTAGCATGGACCATACTG